AAAGAACATTAAAAAAAGGAACAATTTACGCTAGTTTCATGGAAGACTCGTAAAAGTGTAGAAATATTTTTTTTATTTTTAATTATCCCGACGCCTCCACCAATTTGACGCGAAAATTATAGTTAGTCTAGTCATTATAAAATCTGTTACTCATTTTGGAAATTTTCTGAGGATCACAAATTTGACTTTATTTTTGTAATATCGCTTTAAGTAACGAAGAAAAGATTGTTCTTGAATAAAAGTTTAATTGAAATTATTATGGATCCGCAAAGTTTGGTAGATTTTTTGATTCAAAATTTTTCTTGATTTCTTCTATTTCATCCGGATATCAAGATGCCTAAGAAAGGCAAAATTCCAACCAAATTGTGCAGCTACATAGAAAAACTTCTTAAAATTCTTGAAATTAATATTTTTGAAATTATTCATTTATTAATCCTGGCGCCTCCACCATTTTTACGCGAAAATTATCATTTGGTATTCTTTGCGGAAATTTCCAAAGGATTACAATCTGAGCTTATTTTTGAAATGTCGCCTCAAATAACGAAGAAAAAAGTGTTCTTAACGAAAAATTAAAGAAATTCCAATGGATCCGAGAAAAGCTCGTGGATTTTGACTCATTTTTTTTGCTATCTAGTTTCATTCAGATATTAAAGAACATTAAAAAAACGAACAATTTAGCCTGGTTTCATGGAAGATTCGTAAAATTCTAGTAATATTTTTTTTTATTTTTTATTATCCCGGCGCCTCCACCAATTTTACGCGAAAATTAAAGTTAGTCTACTCATTATAAAATCTGTTACTCTTTTTGGAAATTTTCTGAGGATCACAAATTAACTTTATTTTTGTAATATCGCTTTAAATAACGAAGAAAAAGTTGTTCTTGAATAAAAGTTTAATTGAAATTATTATGGACCCGAGAAATCTGGTAGACTTTTTGATTCAAAATTTTTCTTGTTGTTGTTGTTGTTGCTGTTGCTGCTGTTGTCTTGATTTCTTCTATTTCATCCGGATATCAAGATGCCTAAAGAAAGGCAAAATTTCAACAAAAACAAATAGTTTCATTGAAAAAATTCTTAAAATTCCTGAAATTAATATTTTTGAAAATGTTTGTTATCCCGGCGCCTCCACCATTTTTACGCGAAAATTCAAGTTAGTCTACAGAATCGGAAAATGTGTCATTCTTTGGTGAAATTTTCTGAAAATCACGAATTTAATTTTATTTCTGTAATATTGCACAATATAAAAAAAACAGTTTTAAAAAAAATTCTTAAAATTCTTCAAATTAATATTTTAAAATTATTTATGACCCCGGCGCCTCCACCACTTTTAAACGAAAGTGAAACTTAGTCTGCAGAGTCTAAAAATGTGTCATTCTTTCCGGCAATTTTCTGAAGATCACGAATTGAAACTTATTTTCCAATACCGCATCAAATAACAGAAAAAATAGTGCCCTTGACCAAAAATTTCATTGAAATTACAATGGATTCGAAAAAAGCTCGTGGATTTTGAATCAAATTTTTCTTTGTTTTCTTGTTTCATTCGGACAATAAAGAATATTAAAACAGGCACAATTACTATTAAAATATATAGTTTCATTGAAAACATTCGTAAAATTCTAGAAACATTTTTATTTTTTTATTATCCGTGCGCCTCCACCATTTTTACGCGAAAAATTGACTCGAAAATTTTGTCATTCTTTTTGGAAATTTCCTGATGATCACGAATTTGAGCTTATTTGTCCAATATCGCTTCAAATTACTGAAAAAACAGTGCTTTTAACCTAAAGTTTGTTTGAAATTACAATCGATTCGAAAAAGCTCGTAGATTTTTACTCCAATTTTTCTTTGTTTTCGTGTTTCATTAAGGCATTAAAGAACATTAAAAAAGCAACATTTCTTCTAAAATGTAATTTCTTGGAAAAGATTCGTAAAATTCTAGAAATAAATTTTAAAAAAATATTATTATCCCGGCGCCTCCACCATTTTCAAGAGAAAATTCAAATGAGTCTATTGGGTTCAAAAATATGTCATTCTTTTCTGAAATTTTCTGATGATCACGAATTTTGGCTTATTTATCCAATGTCGGCTCAAATAACAGCAAAAACAGTGCTCCTAAGCAAAATTTTGATTGAGGGATTCAAAAAAGCTCGTGGATTTTGACTCAAATTTTTCTTTGTTTTCTTGGTTCATTCAGATTTTAAAGAATATTAAAGAAAGGCACAATTTCGGTTAAAATATATAGTTCCATGGAAAAGATTAGTAAAATTCTAAAAATTGCGGGCGCCTCCACCATTTTTAGGCGAAAATTAAAATTAGGCTATTGGGTTCAAAAATATGTCATTCTTTTCTGAAGTTTTCTGAAGATCACGAATTTGAGCTTATTTTTCTGATGTCGCCTCCAAAAACAGGAAAACAGGGCTATTAACCGAAAGTTTGATTGAAATACAATGGATTCGACACAAACTCGTGAATTTTGTCTCAAATTTTTCTGTTTTCTTGTTTCATTCAGATATTAAAGAACATTAAAAAAGCAAAATTTTGGCTAAAATATATAGTTTCATGGAAAAGATTCGTAAAATTCTAAAAATATTTTTTTTTTTGGTATTCTGGTGCCTCCACGATTTTTATGCGAAAATGAAAGTTGAGTCCAAACATTTGTCATGAATTTGAGCTTACTTTTCCAATATGGCCTCAAATAACAGAACAAAGCAATCTCTTAACCTATAGTTTGATTGAAATTACAACGGATTTGAAAATAGCTCGTGGATTTTGACTCAAATTTTCTTTGTTTTCCTGTTTCATTCTGATATTATATAACATTAAAAAAAGGCGCAATTCGGTTAAAATATATAGTTTAAATTCATAAAATTTTAGAAATTTAATATGGTTTTTTAATTTTGTTTATCCCGGCGCCTCGACCATTTTTACGCGAAAATTAAAGTTAGTCTATTGAGTCGAAAAATATGTCATTCTTTTCGGAAATTTCCTGATGATCACGAATTTGAGCCTAATGTTCCACTGTCGCTTCAAATAATTGAAAAAACAGTACTCTTAACCTAAAGTTTGATTGAAATCACAATGGATTTGAAAAAAGCTCGTGGATTTTGATTCAAATTTTTCTTTGTTTTCCAGTTTCATTAAGATATTAAATAACATTAAAAAAGGCACAATTTCGGTTAAAATATATAGTTTATATTCATACAATTTTTAGAAATTTAATATGGTTTTTTAATTTTGTTTATCCCGGCGCCTCCACCATTTTTACGCGAAAATTATAGTTAGTCTATTGAGTCGAAAAATATGTCATTTTTTTCGGAAATTTCCTGATGATCACGAATTTGAGCCTAATTTCCCACTGTCGCTTCAAATAACAGAAAAAACAGTCCTCTTAACCTAAAGTTTGATTGAAATTACAATGGATTTGAAAAAAACTCGTGGATTTTGATTCAAATTTTTCTTTGTTTTCCTGTTTCATTCAGATATTAAAGAACATCAAAAAAAAGGCACAATTTCGGCTAAAATATATAGATTAAATTCATAAAATTTTAGAAATTTAATATGGTTTTTTAATTTTGTTTATCCCGGCGCCTCCACCATTTTTACGCGAAAATTAAAGTTAGTCTATAGAGTCGAAAATATGTCAGTCTTTTCGGAAATTTCCTGATGATCACGAATTTGAGCCTAATTTTCCACTGTCGCTTCAAATAACAGATAAAACAGTGCTCTTAACCAAAAGTTTGACTGAAATTAAAATGGATTCGAAAAATGCTTCTGAATTTGGATTCAAATTGTTCTTCGTTTTCTTGTTTCATTCAGGTATTAAAGAACATTAAAAGAATTCACAATTTCGGCAAAAATATTTAGTTTTATGAAAAAGATTAATAAAATTCTAGAAATATTTTTTTTTCATTTCTATTATTCAGTCAAAATTGCAATGTCACTTCAAAAAGACGGCGAAAAACTGCAAATGGATCCGCAAGCTCATTGATTTTGTTAAAAAATTGTCTTGTTTTCTTATTCCATCCAGATATCAAGATACCTAAAGAAAGGCACAACTGCAACTAAAATATGTACTTCTATTGAAAAAATTTTTAAAATTCTTGCAAGTAACATTGTTTAATCAATTTTTTTACCTCGTCATTCTATTTGAAAATCTTTTGAGAATCACGAATTTGGATCTAATTTATCCGGAAAATGTTCAATAATCTTGAATCGAACTTCTATTTGTTATGTTTTTACTTTCCATTATGCTATTTCGAACAAACATTAAGATACTTAAAGAAATGTAATGTTGCTTTGAAGTGGAATGTATTATTTCATGAAAAAAGACCTAAAAGATTCAAAAGAATTTTTTTTTTAATTAATTTATGAGCTTCCCTATTTTTACGTAAATACTTATTAAAGTCAATCAACTGGGTCGATAAAGAAGTTATTTTGTATTCATGTTTACTGTAAATGTCATTTTTATAAAAAAAATTAACGGTGAGTGGTTTGTTTTTGTTTCCTCTCCTACTGTTTGACAGTTGCATCTGAGAACACTCTTGGCCAATTTGCTGCACAACGCAGCCAACTACCTTTCGACGTAATGCAAAACGAATTGAAATTTTACAAACCGGTGTTTTAAGGTCGGTTGTGTTTAAAAAAATCCATACTTTGGTCCTGCTAGCCCTTGCCGAGATCCGGCCGGCGATAAACCAAAACGGAATCTCGCCTAACGCGCTACACTGTAATGTAATAAAAACGAACGATCTTGTCGGGTGAAGGGGTCGTGATTTGTATCTATTTTATTGTACGCAACTTATCTATTATGGATGTGAATTGTGATACAAGCTAAATGAGGTTTCTGGGATGAATAATGCATTGAAGCGGAGGATTTTACAATTGCGACTTCGCTCTCCTGTCAAGGCTCGATTGCTTGCAGTAAAAGCGCACAAGTGTATCTAAAAGTGCCCTCTTTACAAAATTCAACACCCGCTCGATCTCAAAACAAACAATACTCACTCGGCTTCTTCGATAGTTTCCGCCATGGCAAGGAAGACGCAGTTGAGCAAAATAGTAGCCATAACTAAATAGTCGAAAAACTGGTTGGTGCACAGGTATATACACGCTTTCCTAATCGAACTAAACGGACTGAAGAAGAAGAACGAACTGGTGGCTGTGAAACGGTGGATGTAGTTCTTGCGAAACCTCTTGGAGACCACGCAGAAGGTCTGGAACCAACAAAACAGCACAAATGAGGATGGCATCGCAGAACAAATAAGTCGTTCATGCATTGTTTATTTTTTCTGTTTTTTTATCAATTATTCACGTGCACCCGAATCCGACCGGATTCTCCCCAGCGTAAATACATTGCTATATTGATTTTAGCTTCCGGAAAGGTAAACATTTTCTGTATGAAAAAAATAATCTTTCTGTTGTTGCCGTCTGGGGGTTTGGACAGATGTAATCCGGCGGTCCCGAGTCACTATCCCAATTTAGAAATATCGATGATTGGACGGTTTGTTGCTGGACGGAATAACGAAACAATTAACCGAGAAAGCGATATTCAGCAAGATTTTTTTGCATTGTGTTATGAGGCGGAAGCGAGCGAAGCTCGTCACATTAATACTTGCTGCTGTTAAAGGCACTTAAGTAAGAATAAGTGATCATGAAGCACTAAAAATAAATGGATAATAGAATGTATACTTACAAATGTAATGTGTTTTGTAATTTATTCTAAGTATGAGCACTATTCAGAGTGTTCCAATAATCGAAGTGAAACAAGTCATTTTTTTCATATTCTGTGCGGATGATGAAACTGTGCTTTTTTTCATTATAAGGCTTTAAATATCGGAAAACAAATCATTTTGATGTGAATATTATAGTCTTTCAAATCGATCTAAAAAAGGTTCATTATTCTTGAAGCAAATTTCTTATGGGTTTATTTCGTTCGAACATTAAGAATTGAAAGCAGAAAGATCCGAACTTTTCTAAAATATATACTTTCATGAGAAATTTGTTAGAATCCCTGAAATAAATTTCCTTAAAATTATTGTCCTGGCGCCTCCATCATTTTTAAACAAAAAATTGAAGTTATACAAATCAGCCGGAAAATAAGTCATTTGTTGTTGAAATTTTGTTAGGATGATGAATCTACTCTTATTTTCACGACATAGTATCAAATATCGAAGAAGACAAGGTTTTCATGTCAAAATTAAAGTTCTTCAAATAAATCCAACGAAAGTTTATTAACATTGATTCAAATTTTTTATTGTTTTTAATTTCGTCCGGATTAAAAGCAATGTGAAGAAAAGTATTAAAAAAATACGATCTCATGAAAAAGTTTCTTGGAATCCTTAGAACAAGTTGTTTTTATATTATTGTTCCGGCGCCTCCACCATTTTACTCAAAAAGTTAAAGTTACAAAAATTAGTGGAAAACTGAGTGATTCTTTTTTGAAAATTAATGAGGACTAAGATTCTTGGTTTGTTTTTATCATAGGGCTTTAAATATCAGAAAGAAATCATTTTGATGTGAATATTATAGTCCTTCAAATCGATCTAAAAAAGGTTCATTATCCTTGAAGCAAATTTCTTATGGGTTTATTTCGTTCGAACATCAAGAATTGAAGGCAGAAAAATCCAAACTTTTCTAAAATATATAGTTTCATGATAAATTTGTTAGAATCCTTGAAATAAATTTTCTTAAAATTATTTTCCTGGCACCTCCATCATTTTTAAACAAAAAATTGAAGTTATACAAATCAACCGGAAAATAAGTCATTTAATACTGAAATTTTGTTAGGATGACGAATCTACTCTTATTTTCACGACATAGGATAAAATATCGAAGAAGACAAGGTTTTCATGTTAAAATTAAAGTCCTTCAAATAAATCCAACGAAAGTTTTTTAACATTGATTCAAATTTTTTATTGTTTTTAATTTTGTCCGGATTAAAAGCAATGTGAAGAAAAGTATTAAAAAAATACGATCTCATGAAAAAGTTTCTTGGAATCCTTAGAACAAGTTGCTTTTATATTATTGTTCCGGCGCCTCCACCATTTTACTCAAAAAGTTAAAGTTACAAAAAATTAGTGGAAAACTGAGTGATTCCTTTTTGAAAATTAATGAGGACTAAGATTCTTGGTTTGTTTTTATCATAGGGGTTTAAATATCAGAAAAAAATCATTTTGATGTGAATATTATAGTCCTTCAAATCGATCTAAAAAAGGTTCATTATGCTTGAAGCAAATTTCTTATGGGTTTATTTCGTTCGAACATCAAGAATTGAAGGCAGAAAAATCCAAACTTTTCTAAAATATATAGTTTCATGATAAATTTGTTAGAATCCTAGAAATAAATTTTCTTAAAATTATTTTCCTGGCACCTCCATCATTTTTAAACAAAAAATTGAAGTTATACAAATCAACCGGAAAATAAGTCATTTAATACTCAAATTTTGTTAGGATGACGAATCTACTCTTATTTTCACGACATAGGATCAAATATCGAAGAAGACAAGGTTTTCATGTTAAAATTAAAGTCCTTCAAATAAATCCAACGAAAGTTTTTTAACATTGATTCAAATTTTTTATTGTTTTTAATTTTGTCCGGATTAAAAGCAATGTGAAGAAAAGTATTAAAAAAATACGATCTCATGAAAAAGTTTCTTGGAATCCTTAGAACAAGTTGTTTTTATATTATTGTTCCGGCGCCTCCACCATTTTACTCAAAAAGTTAAAGTTACAAAAAATTAGTGGAAAACTGAGTGATTCCTTTTTGAAAATTAATGAGGACTAAGATTCTTGGTTTGTTTTTATCATAGGGGTTTAAATATCAGAAAAAAATCATTTTGATGTGAATATTATAGTCCTTCAAATCGATCTAAAAAAGGTTCATTATCCTTGAAGCAAATTTCTTATGGGTTTATTTCGTTCGAACATCGAGAATTGAAAGCAGAAAGATCCAAATTTTTCTAAAATATATAGTTTCATGAGAAATTTGTTACAATCCTTGAAATAAATTTTTTTTAAATTATTTTCCTGGCGCGTCCATCATTTTTAAACAAAAATTTGAAGTTCTACAAATCAGCCGGAAAATAAGTCATTTTTGTTGAAATTTTGTTAGGATGATGAATCTACTCTTATTTTCACGACATTGTATCAAATATCGAAAAAGACAAGGTTTTCATGTCAAAATTAAAGTCCTTCAAATAAGTCCGAGGAAAGTTTATTAACATTGATTAAAATTTTTTATTGTTTTTTAATTTCGTCCCGATTAAAAGCAATGTGAAGAAAAGTACTAAAAAGTACGATCTCATGAAAAATTTTCTTGGAATCCTTAAAACTAGTCCGTTTTATATTATTGTCCCGGCGCCTCCACCATTTTACGCAAAAAGTTAAAGTTACCAAAATTAGTGGAAAATTAAGTGATTCTTTTTTGAAAATTGATGAGGACTAAGATTCTTGGTTTGTTTTCATCATAGGGTTTCAAATATCGGAGAAAAATCATTTTGATGTGAATATTATGGTCTTTCAAATCGATTTAAAAAAGGTTCATTATCCTTGAAGCAAATTTCTTCTGGTTTTATTTCGTTCGAAGATCAAGAAGTGAAAGAACAAAAGGCCCAAATTTTTCTAAAATATATAGTCTCAAAAGAAATTTCTTAGAACCTTTGAAACAAATATTATTAAAATTAATTTCCTGGCGCCTCCACCTTTTTTAAACAAAAAAAAATTCAATTACATTTCAGCCGAAAAATAAGCCATTCTTTGTTGAAATTTTGTGAGGATGACGAAACAGCGCTTATTTTCACGACATAGTGTTAAATAACGAAGAAAACAACGTTTCCATGTTAAAATTAAAGTCCTTCAAATAAATCCGAGGAAAGTTGATTACTTTTGATTCAAATTTTTTCTTGCTTTTTGATTTCGTCCGGATAAAAATGTATGTGACGAAAAGCATAAGAAAAATATGGTCTTTTGAGAAAGGTTATTAGAATCCTAAAATTAGTATTTTTAAAATTATCGTCCGGGCGCCTCCACCTTTTTAAGAAAAAAGATGAAGTGACCAAAATTAGTGGAAAATTAAGTGATTCTGTGGTGCCTCCATCAATTTTAAGCAAAAATTAAATTTACTCAAATCGTTCGAAAAATCAGTCATTCTTTTCGGAAATTGTATGAGGATGGCGAATCTGTGCGTATTTTAACGAAATCTCTTCAAATAACATAAAGAATTAAAAAAAAAAGGTTCATTAATCTTGGCGTGTATTTCTTATGGTTTTGTAAAAACAAAAGCCCAATTTCTCTAAAAATATGTAGTTTCATGAGAAATTTCTCAAAACTATTGACATAACTATTTTTAAAATTATTATCCCGGCGCCTCCACCATTTTTAACCAAAAAATTAAGTTTCTCAAATCTTTTGAAAACCAAGTCGTTTTTTTCGGAAATTTCACGAGGATAATAATAATATATAATAATATATATATTTGGTCTCCACAGATACATATATGTATAACAGTATATAAGACAAGTCAAAAAGAAAAAAATACAAACAAAGAAACACTAAAACTAAAAATTAAAAACTAAACATTTAACAAGCAAAATAACAAAAAGACAAAATGATATTGTCAACATGCCATCAACCTTGAAAAAATTCACCTAGGGAATAATAACATTTATCTGTTAAAAATACTTTTAAATTTTTCCTAAATGATGATATTAACTGACAATTTTGAATATTCACTGGCAAGTAATTGAAAATTCTAACTCCCATACAATCAGTTGCTAACACACCAACATTACAACGTTTAAACGGAACATGAATCTGATGTTTTTGTCGGGTATTTACTTTATGTACGTTATGGACATACGTTAGATTATGTCGGTTTTTATAAATGTGAACACTCATTTCAAATATGTATAATGACGGAAGAGTCAATATATTTAATTTTTTTTAGAAAGGCTTTTGCAGCTTGTATGTTTACTTGCACCGGCAATTGTTCTGATGGCACGTTTTTGACTAATAAACACATTGGCTGCGCTTGGTGACCCACCCCATAAACAAATACCATACCTAATTCTGGATTCCACATGAGCATGGTATATATTAACCAATTGATCAATATTTAAAATTATCTTTAAATTTCTTAGAAGATAACACAGTGAGTTTAATTTTGGAACCAGTATTTTGGCATGTGACTTAAAGTTGAGGTTTGTATCTACCATAAGACCTAGAAATTTTATGGTGTCGACAGTGTTATGCTGTAGATTTGAACATTTGAGATCTATATACTTACAGGTGTTTTGGCGATTACGAAATCTTATAACTTGTGTTTTTTCAGAGTTTATATAAATGTTGTTGGTGGAAAACCAGGATTGGAGATTCGTCATTAAAATATTAACCTCTCTTTCTAATTGAACTTCATTGCGATCTGAAATTATAATCGACGTGTCATCAGCATATAAAACAGGTGATACATTTTTAAAGATGCTTTCAATGTCGTTTACGTAAAGAAGGAAGAGAATGGGTCCCAGAACTGATCCCTGGGGCACACCTACATCTATGTCAATTATGTTAGAACTGATTTGATTTTTAAAATTTTCTTTATTGGTATTCGGAATTACAACGTACTGATGCCTGTTCTCGAGGTAGGATACTACCCAATCCAAGCTATTACCTCTGCATCCATAAGAGAATAATTTGGTTATCAACAGATTATGATTTACGCAGTCGAATGCCCTGCTGAGATCACAAAAGATCCCAACAGGACACTCTCCCGCCTCTATTTTTGAAACAACATTGTTATACAAATCAATCATGGCAGTATTTGTGGAAAGATTATTACGAAAACCATGCTGGTATTTACTAAGTACATTATGATTGTCTAAAAATTTTTGTAAGCGACACAAAAATGCTTGTTCAAAAATTTTTGAAAAACTAGAGCTAATTGCAACAGGACGGTAGTTCTCCATGCAAGCCTTATCTTTTTTCTTATGTATGGGAATAATTTTTGATGTTTTTAGTAATTCCGGGAACTGACCCTTTTCAAACGACAAATTTATAAGGTACGTTAGAGGAGTTATAATTGCAGAGAGTACTTTTTTAATTATGGCTGGCGGAATATCGTCTGATCCGGCCGACCATTTAGGTTTTATTTTATTTTTCACAAGAGAAAGCAACTCTTCCTCCACATACGGATGAAGAAATAAAGTTTGAATAACACCATCAATATTATGACTATCGGCTGGTGTATTATTCCTCACTGAAATATTTTTTATGAGATCTTTAGGGGCTTGCTTGAAGAACTCGTTGAAGCTATCTGCAACTAAAGATGGATCATTTAAAAGAGTATCTTTTACTGAAATTTCGATGTTATTAGAGATCTCTGGTTCGTTGTGTGTTAATTCTGAAATAATTTTCCATAAAGTTTTGTTAGGGTTATCGGATGTAAAAATTTTGTTTTGAAAAAATCTCCTTTTATTATTTCTAACCAATTTTAAATGAATAAGTTTAGCTTGTTTATAAATGCAGGATAGCTGAGGGTAGTTACTTTTCATAATGTACAGATCTTTTAGCTTAATACTTGATGTTAAAATTTCTGAGTTTATCCACCTCCTACTATACGTATCTGTCTTAGTTGTACGCATTTTAAGTGGGAATTTGTGCTCGAAATGACTCCGAAAGATTCCATAAAAGTAATCAAATGCATCATTTAAATCATTCAAACAGTACAAACCATCCCAATCTTGATTTACCAACCGACAGAGGAATTTTTGAATATCAGCATTTCTAAAAATTCTCTTTAACTCATAGACCTTATTATTTGTTTTAGGGGTAATTTTAAAAATATCAGTTTCATAATAAACTGTCCTGTGATCTGAAACAATATTGTCGAAAACATAACATGTTCCGTTCTCAATGTTAGTGAAAGCATGATCAATAATAGAAACAGTTGATTGAGTAACACGAGTTGGCCACCAGACTTTATCAGCTAACCCATACGATTTTAATAAACTACATAAGATGTCGTAATCATTACATTCTATAAACGAATTTATATTAAAATCACCGCACAAAATGATTTTATTGTAAGGTTTGAAAGTTGAATTTAGCGCATCGTTTAGATTGTCCATAAATGTCTTAAGATCTCCATCTGGAGATCTATAACAAGTTATTACAACAACTGAAGTGTTATTTTGTAAGAGTTTGACAGCACATAGTTCGATGTGTTTATCTACGCAGAACGCATTCAACGAAATTTTTTCCCAACACATGTCCATCTTTAACCAAATAGCGACACCTCCACCCCTCGAAGAGAGGCGATTATAGTGACTTACCAATTTAAATTCATCGATACTATTACTGTTTATCGAGGCCGAATTTGACCATGTTTCCGTCAGACAAAGAATTTTTACACTCCTGCATTTAGAAAGTTCAACCTCCAAAAGTCGGCTCTTGTTAGGATTCAGACTTTGAACATTTAATAACATGACTTCTGGAGCAAAAATTACTTCTGAGTAGGCTGATTCTTCTTCTTCCACTGAAAAAACTTATCAATGCATGCCCCTTTCGGCCATATGGTAGAGTCCATAGCCTTAGAAAAATTATAACTATACAAAGAAACCTTAAAAGACGAATACTGTAGAGGATGTTTTGATGGTAAGGTCTCACACAGCACTTCTTTGAACATCGGTTTCAAATAGCCGATTACGTCCGCTTCTGTCGTAGATGGATGGAGTCGGTACACGTGCAGATCGATGAATTTCGGAACGGACGAATTTATGCTTATTTTTGCGATATCGCTTCAAATAAGGGAGAAAACAACTTTCTTATGTATAAATTAAAATCTTTAGAATCGACCCGAAACACACTCATTAAAACTGACTCAAATTTCTTCTCGTTTTGTTATGTCATCCACACTGAATGAAACACAATTTCATCTGAAATAGTTAGTTACATGAAGAATTTGCTAAAATTCTTCAACTAAATATTTCCAAATTAATTATTACCCGCCGCCTCTTTTTCTTAAAGCTCAATTAATTTTCTTTGTATCAGTGAAAATAAATTCCAGACAACGCAAAGAATTTAATTTACAACATAAATATAATTTCGCTCTAAAATAACAACAACGGGCCTCTTCCCTCATTACATTAATCACAGGGCACTAAATTCTGCCGTACCACCAGCCAGACAAGAATGCAATAAATACATCAGTCCGAAAAACAAACGTAATTTTTGTAGTTTCTTGTTCAGTCCGAAGACGAGAAAAGTAATTTCTTAGCCGGGACTTCGTTTTTGCAGTTTTTTAGTATAGCGGAAATTATTATTAACAAAAAATCGGTAAGACACGATAATTCTTGCAATATTGATTATAAAAGTAACTCTTATGATTTCATAGACTAAGGTTCATTTCTGCAGGTTCGGGTTCAACACAAGGTCTGAATTATTACAGTTTAAACTGGATGTCTCGTTCGAATTAGGGATTTAAATTTAATTTAGTTGGGCGAATTGCTTTATAGTCCATATAACACTAATCGAGGGCTTGGTAGATGACCCTAGTAAATGAGTAGGTTCGAAATTTAAATATTTTTTTATCTCTGTACTTAAGCAACTGTATTAAACGCAAAATATACCCAAACTTTCTTGGTTTCCTCAATTCCGTTCAATTAGTGGGTTTATGCGTAAGCCTGGCTGAATCCCGAACCGTATTGCTGGTTGCGTTTAAATTCGCTGCGGGCTCGTTCCCGCCAATGTACAACCCTGTAGAACAAATTGTTTATGTGGCAATTATTATCGTTCGAGTATTATTTCAGCCCATTATACCCTCTTCGAGCGCACCCTCCCGCCCGACTTTCGTTCACTTCCCGGCAACTTTCGCCGGCCCCAAACGCGCCGCCCCCGACCCGTCTGCTCCCGCTTGTTTACATTAATTAAAGAAACTTGAATATACGAAACGAGCCAACTTCGTAATGAAAATTTCCATCAACAAGTTCGAAACTCGTCAGGTCGATTCCCGCGTAATCCAATCACCGCCCCCGAAAAATGCCTTTGTTCGACGCCGGCTCATTCATGTGTCAAATCGTTCTCGCCCCTAACGAGCTCCCGACAAAAAGACAGGAAGCTAGACCGATGCAATAATCAATTTGTCTGATTAAAATTGCCCTAATCTCGTTAATAGTTGGTTCGAAAATTTTGCGACACACAAACAGCCCCTAGTGGCTACGCCAATGCCTTATGGGGGTGCAATGAAGAATTCCACGTGGTGGATGCATAATTAAAAACTCCGAGGGGTTGCGGGTCAGACACAAAAATTTGCAAAATTTACACAGGGTACGGTCGAGACGTTCGTAAAAGTTGACCGAAATCTCTGATTTAGTGGTGGAAGGATTTATGGGTTTGGCGAAATTATACAGTGGGGGACGAGGACAGATTGGGAATGTCGGATGGGAGATATATTACATGGAGTGCTTTTTTTTTCATTTGTTGGGGTTGTAATGGGTGCATAATTAACTCGGGGTAATGGGCGGCGGCGTGGATTTATGGGCTGTTGCACGTGGTGATGATTTTTATCACTTTTCTTGATAATTTTTGGAGGGCGGCCAACAGCTGGAAACGCTTGCGGTTTTTGTGTGTGTAATAAATATTCATATTTGTCGGGGTTATTATGCGAAAATTGCAGCAACGGTGAACCTAAACACATTTTAAGCATTGCAATTTTAGACTTTATTGGGGACAGTTACACGTCACCTATGATAAAAGCTCAAAGGTAATTTCAAAAGCGATAAGAAGTTTCTTCTTCGATGTTTTGTTGTTGTTCCAAACGCGGAGATATTTTTACGCAATTGCTAAAAGGGCTTTTCCGGCCCTGCGACATCTCTCTGGTCATTTATCTATTTATCTGCGACGCTTTTGTAGCGTCCACACGAACTTCTGTGTACTATTTCCCTGTTCGATGTCCTGCCTTTTATCTGTCCCCTAGCGCAATTTAAAAACGTATTTCTCTTTGTTCCCCCTATGTTCTGAAACGATTACAGACCTACCAAATTTTCAAAAGGAACATAGGAAAACCCTGTTTTTCATTTTATTACCATCGTTGACGAATTCCATAATTAAAGGAAGCTTCCCTTTTACCTCCGGACGAAACATGAATATCAAATATTCTGAAAGATCCTGTTTGTGTTTGGGCGGATTTGAACTAATTTTTCGCTGTTTCAATAATTATGAAGCTAATTGGGAACCGCTAAAGTGTGAAATTTTACGATTGCTGAAACTTCAATCGCGTCAACACAAAGCAAACAAATTAGAGTTAACTGTGTGTGGAAATTAGCTAATCGAGTCTGAGTTTCCTAAAATTTCCAAATACACATACACATAAAGATACACAATTATTATATGGAGTTATAACAGCAAGATTCTAAAGAGTATTCTTGTGACCATTGTTGAAAGGAAATACTTATTCCTAGTAAATTTTTCAGAGTTGCGAATCTATCGACTGCGTCTCGGGATGTTCTCGCTTGGTTGCATAATTCATTCCAAATATTCTTTAGAACGGAAAATAGTCACAGCGTTATCACTTTTTTCGCAGTAGCGTCGGAATCAGACAAAATTTACGTGAAATAAATATTTTTAAATTGAATATCCCGGCGCCTCCACCATTTTTACGCAACACTTAAAGCTGTCCAAAGCGATTGAAAAACAAGTCCATCTTTCAGGAAATTCGATGAAAATCACGAATCTCGTATTTTTTAATCGCAACAAATGATTTTTGGGCTGGATAAATTAGGAGTTCGAATCTGAGATTCCGACAAAATGTACTATGTCAATTTTCCATAGTAAAAAAAAAAACAAAAATCGAAGAGGTTCCGCTCAGTCAATTCCGAAACCGAATTCATATTCAGGAGGTTCTAGTTACTACAGGCACTAATTTTGAAACAGCTGAAAGCCTAATTAACATCATACCTTAAATATTATTTCGATTTCAAGAATTCGCCTTTTCAATCCATCTCTCAAAAAATATTTTTCGAGTTTATAGGTTCACCATTTCATAACGGTCATAGATTTCGACCTCTGGTTTGTACCGTTCGATTCCTTGAATTTTTCTTGTGATAGCAAATGACCCTTTGGCAGGAAAAGTGAGTGGTTCGGGCCTGAGAGACCGATAAACCGGACGATGTCATTTTCCCTTAAGTAACCTCATTTTAAATATAAAAAAAATCAGGAAGCTTCATACGTCAATTTTGAAACCGAATTCGTATTCAGGAGGTTCGAATTAGTCAAGAAACCAATTTTCAGAGAGTCTCAATCTCAATCGTTTTGATTTTTCATTCGTTGTCAAACCGAGGGGCGGACCGTAATAAAAAAATTTCTCTACAAAAAATTACCATCTTAAACATGTTTTAAGTTTTTTGTCATGAAAAGAAGTCTATATACATATTAAGAAAAAAAGGCAAAATGTAAGCTCCGCCCACCCGCCCTATTTCAATTGGGATGATTTTTTTTATTCGTCGTGCGCCAAGAGGGCGAAGCGTAACTGCAAAATCCTTATTTCTCTACAAAAATTAAAAAAACGTTTTTGAAAATCGTGTTCCTTAAAGAATACAATGTATATTTAGAAAAAAAATTAAGTCAAAGATTCAGCCCCACCCATAGCCGTCTCGAACTCAATTTTAATTAGTTTTTCATTTGTTGTCAGACCGAGAGGCGGAGCATAACAAGAAAATTTTTCTACAAAAATTTACCATATTAAACATGTTTTAAGTTTCTTGCTATGAAAAGAAGTCTATATACATACTAAGAAAAAAAGCCAAAGTGTAAGCCCCGCCCACCCGCCCTAGTTCAATTGGGATGATTTTTTCTATTCGTCGTGCGCCAAGAGGGCGGAGCGTAACTGCAAAATCCTTATTTCTCTACAAAAATTAAAAAAATGTTTTTGAAAATCGTGTTCCTTAAAGAATACAATGTATATTTAGAAAAAAAAAAATAAGTCAAAGATTCAGCCCCACCCATAGCCGTCTCGAACTCAATTTTAATGAGTTTTTCATTTTGTCAGACCGAGCGGCGGAGCATAATTGCAAAATCCATATTCCTTTACAAAATTTAGAATTTTAGATATGTTTAAAGTTTATTGTTGTGGAAAGAAGACTACAAGTATTAATAAAAAAAAAAGCAATTATTTTTTTATTCGTCGTGAATCAAGAGGAATAAGTGTTTTGCATTTAAACTCCGCCCTCTTGGTACACGACGAATAAAAAAGATCGTCACAATTGAGATGGGGCGGGTGGGCGGGGTTTATATTTTGACTTTGTTCATAATATACATGGTATTCATTGAATAACACGATACTCAAAAACACGTTTTTAATTTCTTGTAAGGAAATAAGTATTTTGCAGTTAAAGTCCGCCCTCTTGGTTCACGACGAATAAAAAAGATCGCCACAATTGAGATAGGGTGGGTGGGCGGGCTTACATTTTGCCTTTTTGTTTTAATATGTGTGGACTTCCTTCCACAACAAGAAATTTAAAACATGTTTAATTTTTATAAGGAAATATCGATTTTGGAATTAGTACTATGGCGAAAAATAAGGTAAAAGAATGAAATAGTCCGATTTGACTGAAAATTGGTTTCTACGCTAATTTTGCAATACAAAATTCATTTCTGCAGTCAAGTGTTAACTAAGATTCGATTTCAAGAAATTATCGTCCAATTTGCATCTTAAAAAATATTTTTCGAGTTTATAGGTTTACCGTTTAAA